TCCTGGGACTCACTTGGTAGCCCAGGCTGGCCTCGAACTCACAGAGATCCACCTGGCTCTGCCTCCCGAGTGCTGGGATTAAAGGAGTGCGCCACCACCGCCCGGCCCTTTTTTCAATACAAATGATAGAAATCAAAATTAAAGCCCAATGCTGGCACTTTCATAGATGATGACATTTTCACAGTAACTATTATTTGATAAACAGGACCCGACACTCTAAGAGGCTTGAGAATAAGAAGTAAATGTTTCCCCAATGTGTCCATTCCAGAGGAACTTTGTGATCTTCTGTGAAGATGTATCCCTGAATCTCTCAAAGCAATTAGCAAACCAGGAATGCAAAAGGCAATGACTAACACGGCCCAAGCAGTACGGAGGGCATCCAGACAAGGGCCCACAACCTCACTCGCCTCCACTTACACGATCTGAATCCTTGCAATGCACAAATGTTGTTTCTGACGGGACACTTTACTCTCTAGACCAGTGGTTCTCAACTTTCCTAATGCTGTGACTTTTAATACAGTTCATGTTGTAATGACCCCAACTATAAATTTTTGTTGCTACTTCACAACTGTAATTTTGCTACTGTTATGAATCATAATGTAAATACCTGATCAAGATATCTGATATGCCACCCCTGTGAAACGGATGTTTGATCTCCAAAGGAGTCAAGACCCAAAGATCGAGAGCCACTGTTCTGGAGACACTGTGATAAATGCTACAGAATTATTATCGGCTCTAATTGATATTTTCCTCATCTCCTCAGATCAGAATAAACACATCTCTTACTTGATTAAATTATATTTAATACTTACCATCTTTCGCTTCTGACCTGTGTCCAAGTTTGATCTGGGAGAGCAGGGGAGGGGGGGAGAAAACAAAACATATACATTAACAATGTGTTTAGGATGGAGATGGTTCATGGGCTGAGAACACTCATGGGCTGATTCCAAAGAATCTAGCTTCAATTCTCAGTGCCCACACAACAGCTCACAACCGCCAGTCCCAGTGGGATCTAATGCCCGCTTCCGACCTTGGACAGAACTAGGCACACAAGTGGTGCACAGAGGCACGTGGAAGTAAAACACCGATACACATAAAATAACAAAAGTTTTTAGAAAGAAGACCAAGAAAAAACTTCCCATGGGTCACTATATAACCTACATGCGCAAAGGACCGGCATGGCGGTGCACTCCTGCACTCTCAGTACTTGAGAGGCAGAGCCTGGGCTCCATGCAAGACTCTGCTTCAAATCAATCAAACAGCTGGGACTGGAGGTGCAGTCCTTTAATCTCAGCACTCATACTGAGTTCTAGACACTGTCTTAAAAAATGAGCCACAGGTGAAACATCTGTAGTGAACTTCTGCCCTCTGGGGTTCTCCCATTGTGCTGTAAGCCTGTATTTAAGACCTCTTCCCTCCTTCAATAAACAGCATTCGGCATTAAAAAAAAAGAAAAAAGAGAAAAAAAGAAAGAAAGGCTAGGCTGTGGTGGTGTATGCCTTTAGTCCCAGCAATTAGGAGGCAAAGGCTGGTGCATCTCTGAGTTTCAGGCTAACCTGGTCTACGGAGAGAGTCCCAGCACAGCCAGAGCTACACAGAGAAACCCTGTTTTGAAAGGAGGGAGGGAGGGAGGGAGGGAGGGAGGGAGGGAGGGGAGAGAGAGAGAGAGAGAGAGAGAGAGAGAGAGAGAGAAAGAGAGAAAGAGAGAAAGAGAGAAAGAGAGAAAGAAGAAAGAAAGACTGGGAATGTAGCTCAGCAGAGTGTTTGCCTAGTATTTAGGAAGATTCTGAATCCCCAACACCACAAAAAACCCATAATCTCACCACTTGGGAAGTGGAGGGAGAAGGATCAGGAATTCAAGAGCATCCTTGGCTACTTAGTAAGTTAAAGTCTAACCTGGGCTACAAGAGACCCTTTCTCAAAAAGTGACAGGAAAGGGTAAAACAACCCAGATATCCTTCAAGGCATGAACAGCTAGACAAGACCATAACACAGACTACTTCTCCACAGTGAAAAAAACTAACTGCGGTGTATTCCTGAAATGACACAAAGAAAGGAGTGAGAGCAGGTTAGTGCTTGTCAAGGGCAAAGAAGGGAGAGGGGTGGGAAGGGAAGGGGCTGGGCCATCAGAGGGCAGAGTGAGGGCTCCTCCGGGTGTTGTGGGTGTTACTGTCTCCGCTGCACGACCATGGATGTCTTGGATGTGTTGCTGTGTTAAAATTTACAGGATAGCAACACTGGGGACAATAGCCAAAGGTATCTGGGATCTTGAGATACCATTTCTTATAACTCATGTCAATCTCCAGCTTTCTCAAAATTAAAGCATTTATTTTATCTACTTCTGGGATATCTGTGTAGCTCTGGTTGTCCTGGAACTTGCTTTGTAGATCAGTCTGGTTTTGAACTCACAGAGACTGGCCTGCCTCTGCCTCCCAAGTGCTGGGATTGAAATTATGCACCACCACAAAAAAAAAAAAAAAAAAAAAAAAAAGAGCCACAGTAAAAGCATGTAGTTACAATATGTAGCTCATGAGAACAATCGGAAATCCAAAGGCTGAAGGTATTGCTCAGGAGCAGAGTCATAACACGTTGAAGGCAGCGTTTGAGCTCCAGCACAGCAGGACTAAAGTGAATCAATCATCTACTTTAAGTTTCTGAACTACACACTTAAGCAATTGAACTCAACAAGGCTCTTCTGATACTCTACAATCTGAGGTTAATCCCCTGGACCCACAATGTGCAAGGGAAGAACTCCCACAAGCTGCTCTGACCTTCAGAGCATGCAGTGGTATATGGGAACACTCACAAGTAGTAACTGACTCCTTCATGCTTGCCTTTTTTGCTTTTTGGGTGTTTTTTGAGACAGGGTTTCTCTATATAGCCCTGGCTGTCCTGGAACTCCCTCTGTAGACCAGGCTGGCCTCAAACTCACATTGACCTACCTGCCTGCCTCTGCCTCCCGAGGAGTGCTGGGATTAAAGGTGTACCACCACCACCTGGCTTACGTTTAAGTTTCTGTTTATTTTGCTTTGTTTTTGAGAAAGCATCTTGCTGTATGTGGTTCAAGGTGGCCCTAACTTTCAAATCTGCATCTCAGCCTCCGAAATGCTAGGATTACATGTGTTAATCATCACACCCAGACCTCCTTTCATCTTTTCAAGTTAAATACAGACTGGATAACTGAGAGCATGCTAATTTATTTCCCCCAAATTACTTCTATTTAGTATACTTGAGAGAAAAAAGTAACATAAAAAGAAAACATATATGTCTAATAATCCTATGTTTTTCACAAAGCAAACTTACAAAATGTGATAGATGTAAGAAATGGTTAACACTGACTAAGAATAACATATCATGTTAGGAAATTTAGTCTTTTGTTGCTGGGTTTTTTTTTTTTGTTTTTTTTTGTTTGTTTTTTTTTTTTTTTTTGAGACAGGGTTTCTCTGTATAGCTTTGCGCCTTTCCTGGAACTCACTCTGTAGGCCAGGCTGGCCTCCAACTCAGAGATCTGCCTGCCTCTGCCTCCCGACTGCTGGGATTAAAGGCGTGCGCCACCACCGCCGCCGCTAGGACCAGGTCAAAGAGTATTCTGCTCCTTACTACTTTATACAAGAGTTGTCCATCACTGAAAGGATTACCTCTGGAAAACACTTACTCTTCCTTTAAAAATGTTCCTAATGTATGCTACAAAGAGAACCTTCTATTTAAAAGTAAGCCACGTATTATAGCTCAAATATATATAAGACACCGGGAACTAACAAACTGATTATGAAATTTATATGGGAAAATACTCAAATAGACACACAATAAAAACAGAATAATCTCAGGGACTAGAGAGATAGTTCAGTGGTTAAGGGCACTGGCTGTTCTTCCAGTTTCCAGGTTCAATTCCTGGCACCCACATATCAGCTCACAACTGTCTTTAACTCCAGTTCCAGGGTACCTGACACCCTCATGTAGGTAAAACACATGCACATAAATTTAAAAAAAGAAAAGAAAAAGAAAAATCTCAAATTGGGTGGTGGTGGCACACACCTTTAATCCCAGCACTTGGAAGGCAGAGGCAAGTGGATCTCTGTGAATTTGAGGCCAGCCTGGTCTGCAAAGGGAGTTCTAAGACAGGTAGGGCTACACAGAGAAACGCTCTCTCAAAAACAAAAAAAAAAAAAAAACAAAAAAGAACAGAAACAAACAAGAATAACCTCATGATTATCCTTTATCACCAAGATTTAAGTGATTATTATTTTGCTATGCTTAAGTCAACTAAAATTTTAAAACAACTCTAAGACTTCACTCCATGCCCCCTTATACACTGATACACATGTCCTCTAACAGAGCAGCATGTGCTCTCACCCACAGAAATACAGAGACACACACAAAATACTTAAAAATTAAAAAAACTCAATAATACATGCTAGGAATGTGGCTCAATGACAAAGCACTTGCCTAGAATGCTCAAGGCCCTGGGCTCAATCTACATATACACTCATGTAGGCACACATGCATGCATATATATATGTATATATATAAAATTTTAAGGGGGAGAGGAATCCTGGAATTAGTTCAGTGGGTAACACTGGCTCCACAAGCATGAGGATGTGAATTCAAGTCCCCAGCACCCAGGTAAAAGGCCAGCCGTGGCTATGTATGCCTCAAGTCCCATCACTGGACAGAAAGATTCGAGAGAGCTTGCTGGTGAGCCAGCCAGCCAGCCTGCCTTGCTAGCCAAAACCAAAATAGCAAGCATCTGCTTTTATTGAGAGACCTTGTTTCAAAGGCAATTAAAGCAAAGAACAATGGAGGAAGTCATCAGCTGTCCTACTCCAGCGGCCTGTGCACGGGGAGACCTCAAAACTCATGTGCCTGCACCACACACACCTCTAAGCCGCACTTATACAGCAATTACACACAGATAATGAAATGACCCAAAAGCCGCAGGACAAACTGGCTAAGTCAGGCTGGGAAACAGAAAACACACAGCAATGCCACGTCATTTTTAAAAATATTTATTTTATGTGTATGGGTGGTTTGCCTGCACGTATGTCTGTGGACCACATGCATGCCTTGACCTGTGGAGGACAGAAGGTGTTGGCTCTCCTGGAACAGGAGTAGCAGTCGTTAGTCACCACGCGAGTTCTGGGAACCAAACTTGGGTCTTCTATAAGAACAGCCGGCCGGGCGGTGGTGGCGCACGCCTTTAATCCCAGCACTCGGGAGGCAGAGGCAGGCGGATCTCTGTGAGTTCGAGGCCAGCCTGGTCTCCAAAGCGAGTTCCAGGAAAGGCGCAAAGCTACACAGAGAAACCCTGTCTTGAAAAAAGCAAAAAAAAAAAAAAAAAAAGAACAGCCAGTGCTCCTAACTGCTAAGTCACATCAGCAGTATTTTAAGAAGTCCAAGTCATAATAAATGCAAAAGCAGTTTAATGAGTCTTTTTTTGGTAACATCAAAGAGGGTGTTAACAAGTGAACACGAATAGAAATCATGAGGGTCGGAAAAGGAAGGCTCCCAGCACTAAATCCTCAATGTTCACAGAAGAAAGTACAAATGCTGTCCAAGGTGGGGAGGGGAGACCCACAAACAAGCTACTCCAGATATTCTGGAGATAAGCATCAGTTAAAGAAACTGAAAAACCAAAACAAGAGATGCTATAGCATGTTAAAAGCCTTTGCTTATTAGTAACTTTTAAAACCACAAAAATGAATTATTTGAAATGAAATAAAAAGAGCATTTAAGTCACCTTCAAGGAGGAACCATTTTGTAATGACACAGGATACCTAGCACAGAGACAAGGCAGGAGTTTAAGATCATTCTCTCCTACACAGTAACTTTGGAGTCAGGTCATAGGGCTTTTTAAAAAGGAGAAACAAGTTGGATTCTAAATCCTAATGAATGTTAAAAGCAGACAAGAAAACCCACTTGTACTTACAATTACAAAACCCAATATGTCAACCATGTGAAAAGACTACCAGTCAACTCAAGGTCTTCTTTGTTTTAGATACAGAGTGCACTGTTTGCCCAGGCCGGATTGAACTCCCAGACTCAGATGACTCTCCTGTATGTCTCCTAAGAACACACTCCACTGTATCCAGGTAAGTCAGGACAGGTGAGGCGGCTCGGTGAGTAAGAGCACTGGCTGCTCTTCCAGAGGACCTGGGGGGTTTGACTCCCACTGCCCATATGGTAGCTCACAATCATCTAGAACACCAGTCTCAGGATAAGACACTCTTTTGGCCTCTATACATAGTTATACAGACAAACATGCAGGCAAAACACCACAAACATAATAAACAAAAGCCTACAAATGTGCTCACCACAGTCCAGGTGTAATGTGAATAGATTTGTGTGGGCAATGAACTCAGATGGAAGGATTTCAGATTATGATGATAATGACATGAAGATGATATAGAATGAAGAACTGCCAAGAACAGGGGAGGAAAGTGGAACACCTATTTTGCTGCACACACAGAGAGGGAGAGAAACCTAAATAATAAGAATTCAGCCACACCAAGTTCTAGAGAGAAAACACAGCAACCTTGAAAGAGAAAATACAACGATCTGGTGACTAGAACAAATTTAACATGTCCGAGCTGGAGAGATGGCTCAGTGGTTAAGAGCACTAACTACTCTTCTAGAGGACCTGGGTTCAATTCCCAGCACCCACATGGCAGCTCACAACTGTCTGTAATTCCAAGATCTGCCACTCTCACAAAGACATACATGCAGGCAAAACACCAAAGTACATGAAATAAAAGTAAATTATTTAAAAAAAAAATTTAATATGTCCAAAGAAATACAAAGGTCAGTATGGCTGGGATAAGGTGACCCAGAAGTAGACCTGAAGATGACAAAGCCATTATCAGAGTTAAGAGGGGATGATGGACAGTGGCTCATACAATAATATCATTTGAGAGCCCAGGTCTGCCTGGGCTATATAAAGAGTTCCAGGCCAACCTACCCTACAGAGTTCCCATGTCTTGTTTTTGTTTTTATTTTTCGAGACAAGGTTTCTCTGTGTAGCTTTTCCTGGATCTTGCTCTGTATACCAGGCTGGCCTGGAACTCAGAGATCCGCCTGGCTCTGATACCCTGGAACTAAGGGCGTGTGCCACCACTGCCCGGCCAGAGTTCCCATCTCATAAAAAGAGATATTTAAGAGGTTTTTGGTGTTTTGTTTGCTATTGTTTGTTTTTCAAAGCAGTGGGCCTCACACATACTAGGCAAATACTCTACCACTGAGCCCAGGCCTCCTTTTACTTTTTATTTTGGGACAGGGTCTTACTAATTTGCCTATGCTGGCCTTGAAACTCACTCTTTAGCCCAGGCAGGTTATTGAATTTTATGTGTGTATGTATATTTGCGTTTTTTGGAGGCCAGAGGATAGCTCAGCCGTCCTTCCTTAGAAACTGTCCATCTTGTTTTTTTTAGACAGTGTCTCTCACTGAAATTCACCAAATAGGGGAGGCTGCATGGAGCCAGCCTTGGGGATTTGCCTATCTGCACCTCCCCAGTACTGGGAAACACTGCCTTTTGATTCTCCTGCCTCAACCTTTGGAGTAGTGAAACATGGCAGTAGAGCACAAGCTGGAAAACAAGAATATGAGAAGTGAAAAAATGAAACGGGCCAGCAAGATGGCTCACTGGGTGACGGCACTTGCTGCCAAGCTGCAGTTCAATCCCCAGAACCTACAGATGGAAAGAGAACCAGCTCCGCGGTTGTCCTCTGAGTTCTACATGCCCTGTGGCACACACACCCCGTCCAGAATTATTTATTTATACGAGAGTAATTTCTTAAAACAAAGATAACAATAGCAGAAACACCTGAAAGGAAGACAGCAAGCCACGTACTAAGTAGTGAGTGAAAGGGAGTACCTGGGAGGCTGGAAGATGGAAGCCTGACCATCCACACTTCAAGGAAGTAATGAGTTTACAAAGGAGGAAACATTCAAAGTAGCACAGGAAGACGGAGGTCAACGACACCAACAGGCCCTGAGGTCTGTGAGGAAAAACAGAGTGGCCCTGAGATGGCTACAGGTTTCAGCAGTGTGAGAAAGAGCAGCCAACTTCACTCTAGTCCTGGCCTCAGCAATTACTAGCTGTGTGATCTCGAAGTCATCCACCTAGCCTCAGGGACCGTGAGGAGGAGACAAGGACACCTTTCCCTATCTTACAGACTGTGTGGAGGGTGAGGCTGGGGGGAAATCAAAGTGTCTGGCACACAGGAAACTATGTCAGAAGTGTTGTCAATGAATTTAAGCTTAAAAATCACTTCAATCATTTTAGAAAAGGCACTGCATCTGTGTTGTTAATGCCGATAAAAAAATTTCTGTACAGATAACATAGACATAACAACCTGTGGCCTGGAAAGATCACGGCATCCAAAAGAACTGAGGAGACGGTAGTACTTGCCTCCTTGGCCAACAACCAATTTTTTTATTTTATTTATTTATTTATTTATTTTTGATTTTCTTTGAGACAGGGTTTCTCTGTGTAGCTTTGCTCCTTTCCTGGAACTCGCTTTGGAGACCAGGCTGGCCGAACTCACCGAGATCCGCCTGCCTCTGCCTCCTGAGTGCTGGAATTAAAGGCATGCGCCACCACCGCCGGGCAACAACCAACTTTTATGGAACAAAAAGTTCTAGTTTTTACTGTTTCAACAAAAACTGGTTCAGATCGAGTTCCCTCTTAAAACACTAAATACACTAATAAATACTACTGTCTCTAGAAATCGTGTAACTTCCACAATCAGGGCGTATTAAAATGAAGCCAAACGTAGTGCGCATCTTCAATCCCAGGACTCGGCAAGTAGAGGCAGGGGGATTTCCTCGGGTTGGGGACCAACCTGGGCCACAGGGCAAGACTGTCTCAACCACAATCAACTAACCAACCAACCAACTAATAATGCACAAATATTTTAAGAGTTGCTTGCCTGGCGTGGCGGCGCACGCCTGCGAACCCGACTCTTGCAGGGCAGAAGCGGCAGGCTAGCTAGCAGCAAGCTGTGGGCCAGTCGGGTCTGAACGAGCCAGCTCAGTGCCAGCGAGGGCGACGTGGCAGGCAAGAAGACCCGAAGACTGGGAGAGGAAACAAGGTTAACTCACTTTCTTAATGGCGACAATCTGGTTGGTGTTCTTATCTCTGGCCTTGTAGACCGTCGCAAACTAGAAAGAAACACAGCAACACACGTTCGTGAGAGGTCTCGGCGGGATGGCGGTTGGTTCGGGGTGTCCTCCCCCACCCCTCTTTTTTGTAAAAAACCCGGGTTCTGGAGCGGACTCGCCGCGGCTTGCTGGGGAGGGAGGTGGTCGGGCGGCCTCTTCTCCCGAAGGGAGGAAGGACGGGGGCAGCGGGGCTCCGGAGGTTCGGGGCAGCGGGGCTCCGGAGGTTCGAGGCCAGCCATCGCCAAGGAGAGCCCGCCGCGGCCGGGCCCGGCCTGCGCGAGAACGGCCTCACCTGTCCCTCCCCGAGGAAGTCCAGCTTCTCATAGCGCTTCGCCCGAGACTTCACGTCCACAGCCATGCGAGCGCGAAGCCAGACCCCAGCCCAAAAGCCAAGGCCGCCGCCCCCGCAGGAATTTAAAGCGTCGGGACGCTCCCAACAGCTACTTCCGCCCGCGGAACGCACACTAGCGCCCGTAGCGGAAGTGTGGGCGGGGCCGGACCTACGGAAGCCGGGCTGGGCTGGGAGCGGTGCCTCCTTCCTCCCCCCCCCCCGCCCCCCGCTGACACGTGTGCACCGAGGCCAGAAGCGACGTGTTTTCGATGGCTGTTAATTTGTGCTTTTTTTTTTTTTTTTTTTTTTTTTTTTTTTTTTTTTTTTTTGTCTTCGTCTTTTCGCTGGGATTTGCTTCACTTCCGAGGATAGGTCAGCGTTCTGGCATGGTGGTTCCGAGTTCGGAAGTTAGCTCGGGCTTGGCCGTGCACAGGTCTTGCTTTGCGTTGTCCTGGCGCCTCAGTCGCTATGGACGCCAAACCCCTCCTTCTTAAGGAGAGCCAAGTTCTTAAAGACGCATTTATAAAGAAACAGGCCTAGAGCAGCAAAACCCAACCCTGCTGAACATTATGTTATGGAATAGGTCTTTTGTCTTCCATAAATCCAAACTAATGAATTAAGAGAAACATACAGAGCGTTTAAACATAGTCACAGTGTCCGCTGTGCCATTAGTAATTCCGCTTCAAGCCTATCTATCTGTCAGTTACTGGCTCCAGCAATGGATTCCGTTTGAGTCCTAGTTTTGTTTTCACATCGCTCCAGTTTGCAGGGTGGAGGGTGGGGAGAGGTTTTGCTGAGACCTCAATTCCCTGGTGGATTTAAGAATTGATTTTCACATTGTTGAGCTTTTTTCTCACGAGGAAACAAATGAAGCCGAAATTACTTCTAAAGCAAGAACCACACGTTTTAATACCTTTGCTTTTAATTTTTATTTTATGCGTATGGGTGTTTTGCCCGCATGCGTGTCTGTGAATCATATGTGTACACTGCCCATGGAGGTCAAGAGAAGGCATTGAATCCTCAGGAACTGGAGTTACAGATGGCTATGAGCCACCATGTGGGTGCTGAGAACTGAACCTGGGTCCTCTGGAAGAACAGCAAGTGCTCTTAAGAGCTGAACCATCTGTAAGGCCCTTAATAACCTCTGTTAATAAAATCTATGAGATCATTGGCTTGAATTGAGCTTCTACACAGAGTTCACCAGATGAAGCCAAAAGGGAGTCAAGCATCCTTAAGTTCCACAGTAAGCAGAAACTAAGTTACTTATCTGGCTTTCCAAGAAACTAGCAGCAAGATCTCCCAAACTGGCCCATTTTTGGTGACATAAAGAAGTGCTTTATTTAACCCTTACGAAAAAGTAAAGTCAGCTCATTTAACCAATCAGATTCCCCCCTGCCGTTCCTGGTTCTTTTGTTTTTGTTTTCCGAGACAGGGTTTCTCTGTGTAGCTTTGTGCCTTTCCTGGGACTCACTTGGTAGCCCAGGCTGGCCTCAAACTCACAGAGATCTGCCTGGCTCTGCCTCCTGAGTGCTGGGATTAAAGGCGTGCGCCACAACCTCCCGGCCCGTTCCTGGTTCTTGTTCCATCCTCAGACATCCCTTGCTCCACCAGGCATGGCAGGGCGCTTAAGTAGTCTGGAATTGGAGGCAGAAATCTTGCAATTTCCAAGAGAGCCTGGGCTATAAACAACAAAAACATGTTTTGCTATTGTTCATTGGGAGCTCTTTCTATAATTCTGTAATGAATTCTACCTAATTCATGAATCACAAAATTGTGCAACAACACCATAACCAACCTGGTTGTGATTAGAATCCAACTTCTTAGTTAACATTAATCATGCTACAATAAAAAACTCATTTAAGATGCATTCGTACCTTTAATACCAGCATCCCCTTGTAGTGGAAGATTAAAAGATAATTGGGTCCACTATCCAGGTCTACACAGTGAGATCCTGTCTCAGAAAAAAAAAAAAAAAGTTAACTGTGAGGCATGATGAAAGGGATTGAGACAGCTGGTGCTTGCAGTTCTAAATATGGCAGTACAAGAAATATGTCACTGAAAACCCATTGGACTTCAACAATAGAATCAGACTAATTTTTTATTCCATTTTATTTATTGTCATTATGGCGGGGGTGCCACGGTACACATTTGAAGGTCAGGTCTTCAGGCTTGATGGTTGGAGCCTTTTTTCCCTGCGGGTCCATCTCTCTGGTCCCAGATGATGTTTTAAAAGGTTTGCTCTGCTGCTGAGAGACTTATAGACTGAAAGGGCAAGGAAAACCAAGACGACCTGTTGGAGAATTATTGTGGTCAAACAGATGGCTTTGCTAGAGTGATATTAAAATTTTGATTCCGGGGGCTGGAGAGATGGCTCAGCGGTTAAGAGCATTGGCTGCTCCTCCAGAGGTCCTGAGTTCAATTCCCAGCAACCACATGGTGGCTCACAACCATCTGTAATGTGATCTGGTCTCTCTTCTGGCCTGTAGTCATACATGCTGTATACAAAATAAATAAATAAACATTTAAAAAAAAATTAAAATTTTGATTCCTAGCCCATAGGATCTACTAACAGGCTAATCCCAAAGTTCTGAGCTGGAGCAGCTGCCAAAATGGCATCCCCCCCCCCACCTCTTTCTTAGCAATTGATGTTTCTAAAAACCAGGCATCTTAATTTTTAGGGACATGTTGGAGATAGCAACAGTGTACAAAGACTAGCAATTGAGATGCCAGTGTAGCGTAGCAGTGGCTCTGGATCCATTCGCCTTTGAATACTGGCCAACCAGCATTCAGTCACTAGGTGAATGACTTACCTTCTCTATAACAGGACCTAATCAAACACCAAATGTTAAATGACTTTGCCTAGGTAAAGCAAATGTCTGGCAAGTGGTTAGGTAGCTATTATTGCTTCAGTCCTCTGTCACCACTTAGGACCAAGTAAAACACGCACAGACCGCAGAAAACCATCTTTTTGTTTTGAAGCCATGGGATTGAATCTAAGGCCTTGTGAATGCCAGGCAGGCAGGAGCTCACGGAACTATCCACAGCCCCAAAGTAATTTGTGTATGTGTTCTTGTGTGGTGTATGCATGTATTTAGGGGGCATATGCAGCAGCCAGAGGTCAGTGTTGGGTGTCTTCTTCAATCATTCCATCTGTGTTTCTGAGTCTCTAAGCCCAGGGCTCACCAATTCAGCTTGTCTGGCTGGTCAGAGTTCCAGGGTCCTGTCTTTCTGCCTTCCCAGAAGGAAGATTCCAAGTACATAGCAACTCCCAGCTTTTTACGTGGGTGCTGAGGCCCTCAGGACCATTTGGCAAGCACTCTACTGATAGAGTCATGTCCTCACCCCTAAATTTTATTTGGGAAAAAATATATAACTGGGCGTGTCAGTTAATGCCTTTAATCCCAGCACTGCAGAAGCAGGGATTTCTATGCGTTTGAAGCCACCCAGGTCTATGTAGTGCATTCCAGGTTAGCCAAACTACATAATATGACCCCGTCAAAAACAAAAGATGAATTATATACTTTCCATGTTACCAGAATAGCTTACTGCTAACATCAAATATAAACCCTTATTGCTCATCAGGGCAACATTCATAGCACAGAACTTTTAAGAAAAACAAATCAACTCAGGAATGATAAAGATTAGCCCACAGGTGATTGAACAAAAGTAGAAAACAACACAATTCTAGTGTCCATTCATCATGGGTTACTCATTATGGATGCCTTCTTTATAAAGTATATTCTAGAAATCATTACAAGTATGGAAGAGGATTTGGTCAGCTTTGTGAAGACTAGCAGGGGAACCTATTATAGTTTCATTGGTTGCCTAGTAAGTTGGATTTTGAGACTCTCAGACATTAAGATAGTCAAAGTTATTGGGATTTGCAAATATGATCACAAACAGTAAGATAAATGAAAATCTTCCCATAGTAATTTTTAGTGGAATATTTGTTCCTATGTTATATTCATCTTACGTATTATTTATACATTGTGGCAACCCATTGGGCTTGGATTCTGGAACCCTGACTAGGCACAGTGACTGAATGAAGAAATGATACACAGCCACACATACAATAACGCTGGGGTTCTCCCACTGCTCCTAAAACCTCAGCCTGTGTATCAATCAGTACAGCACACAGGGGCGGGGAGTATGGCAGGGAGGGGGCAGTGTTTAGCTAGTCTGGGTACGGGTCTCTGTAGGACAGCAATCTCAGGCTGGAGAAACATCTGGGAGGAAGAAGCTGCAGCTGCTAGTTTCCACACACACTGACCGATCATTCATAAACACCAATACTCCATCCCTCTGAGCCTATCCAGGTAAGGCGTTACCATTCCTGAGTGGCCTAAGCCTTGGAGTCCTGGACATGGCCATGCTCATGTTAACATTCACTCAGGACTTCACTCACAGTTGCTGACACTCCCTACAATACGGACACTTTTTCTGAATATAGGTACAAATAATCTTTTATATTATCTTCGTAGTCTTAATTCCACTGCCAGCTTTTATTGAAATTACATTTTTATTACTTAGAAGAGGGTATTATTACATCAGTTATACTCAGATAACCTTGTGAATGAAAAAAACCAGATAATTAATAATAGTGGAAATATCTCACTGCTCCTCATCTAATTTCAGGGGGAAAAAAACTTCCTTATAGCAGGAATTGTGTTTCATAAATTATCTTTATGTCTAAACAAACAGAAAAGAGAAAATTTGATCATTTACTAGATACTGTGTGCTTATAATAGCTCATCGCTGGTAACACTTCATAATCAAGAGTAAGTTAACAGGCTAACATGTAAAAATGTGACTTTAATAGGTATGCAGGCCAGCTTGCAGAGAAGCTGACCAAGATACACAGAGGAGATACAAGTGGCCATCTAGAGTTTCCACACTTCACTCTTTGCAGAATATTTATTAAGGTTGTTTAATATACAATTTTCATTTGACATTTCCGAAGTCCAGTATTGTAAAGATAATCCTTTTGTCTGACAGCAAACAGCAAGCACAGTGGTCACTCTGGGCCTCCACGCTGAAAAGAGAAGCATAAAGGAATGAGATGAAGTCATAAATTGACCATAATTTATATAATAAAAATGGTCTTCAGGCTGTGGCTGGTTTTTTGAGACAAGGTCTCACTCTGTAGCCCAGGCTGGCCTAGAAATATAAAGCTCAGACTGGCCTCTAAGAAATCATGGCACGCTGGGTGGCGGCGGCGCATGCCTTTAGTCCCAGCACTCGGGAGGCAGAGCCAGGCGGATCTCTGTGAGTTCGAGGCCAGCCTGGTCTACAGAGCGAGATCCAGGAAAGGCACAAAGCTACACAGAGAAACCCTGTCTTGAAAAACTAAAAACAACAACAAAACAAAACTTCAGGGTTTTGCAGAGTTTGGAGGCATTTACAGTAATGTTATAAATTCAGATCTAGAAAGGATTCAATCTTGATGACAGAACTAGGTGTAATGGTGGACTCTTTAATCCCAGCACGCGGGAGGAAAAGGCAGGTGAGTTTGAGGCCAGCCTGGTCTACACAGAAATTTCCAGGACAGCCAGGGCTGCATAGAAAGACCCTGTCTGGGGCTGGAGAGGTAGCTCAGGGGTTAAGCGCACTGGCTGCTCTTCCAGAGGTTCTGAGTTCAATTCTCAGCAACCACATGGTGGCTCACAACCATCTATAATGAGATCTCGAGCCCTCTTCTGGTGTGTGCGGGCATACATGCAGCAAAACAATGTACACATAATAAATAGATCTTTAAAAAAAAAAAAAAAAAAGACCCTGTCTCAAAAAAAGATGGATGAATGATGACATGAGCTAGCCTCACATTTCTCTGAGGTCTCAGAAGCCCCTTAGAATGTTATTAGCCCCTCACTCAAAGAGGTTTTTTCAGATGGTTTGATGTTTTGTTGGGACTGAACCCAGGGTTCGACACACTGTTGGCAGGAGTTCTACTAATGAGCCACATCCCCAGCCCTCTGTATGGTTTTATGTCTTCGTATGTCATGCATGCTTACTGAGGATCCCAACAGTGATTTGTGTCTGATTGCCCTGGCCTCGCTCTTCCTCTCCCTTAGCTATAACCCCACTTCACAAGCAAAGGGAAGAACACGTAAACCAGCAAACGACCACTGCGAAGCCAAAATGTCCTGGCACTCTGCACAATCTTGTGCTAAAGGGCAACTGCATACCTGGATAAATTCCATTTCTTCTTGAGATATAGGTTTCCTTCTGTATTTCTGAGGTAATGTTTTTATTATCTCTGCAGTGTCTGGTGGCCCCGGATGTATCAGCGAATCTGGGGATGTATTTCCTTTAGAAGTCTGTGAAATTATAGATGAGTGCGAGGGTAGCCCAGCAGATCTCAAAGCTTCTGAGGCTGATAGTAAAAAAGAAAACACTAACTAGACAAATTATCCAGGTGTCTTTAAATATTATTATTATTTTTTTTAAATTATCTGCTACTGAGTAGTCAAGCTGTCCTTTAAAATAGGTCACTGGGGCTGGTGAGATAGCACTTGGCTTTTCCAGAGGACCTAGGTTTAATTCCCAGCACCCACAGGGGCAATCAAGCTGTCTGTAACTCCAGTTCCAGAGGATCTGACTCCCTCTTCTGGCCTCTGTAGGTACCAGGTGTGCATATGGTACACAGGCATGCATGAGGACAAAACACCTATACACATTAAATAAGTAAATCATGTCATTCTTCAATTTGCTTGTAGCAATCCTCCTCCTCCACCTTCTGAGTGCTAAAATTATAGGTATACTCCACTATACATGGTTTCTTGAACACACACACACACACACACACACACACACACACACACACACACACACACAATGTAATGATCTTTTTGAAAGAAATAATACTCTCTTTTTTGTTTTGACAGGGTTTTCTCTGTGTAGCCCTGGCTGTTCTGGAATTTTCTCTGTAAACCAGGTTGGCCTCGAACTCAAAAGTATTCACCTGCCTCTCTGCCTCCCAAGTGCTGGGATTTAAGGTGTGTCACCACTCAGCCTTTTTTCTCTCTTTCTTTTTTTGAATAGTAGTCTTTGTTTTGGGTTAGAAGTGCTGGGGTTGGACGCAGGTTCTTGTACAAGCTAAGCAAATAATCACTGAGCCACGTCTTTTTTTTTTTTTTTGTATGATAAGGTCTCACTATGTTTGAATTCCTGGGTTCAATTGATCCTTCTGCTTCAACTTCTTCAGTAACTAGGACTACAGGTGTTCAACTCCATGCATGCCTAGCAAAGTAGTTTAAAGAAAGTAAATTATGACTGAAGAGATGGTTCAGAAGATAAAGGTACCTGGCACCAAGCCTGATGACCTTAGGTTTATTCCTGGCACAGCACTCGTGTGTAGAAGGAAAGCACTCACTCCTGCAAGCTGTCTTGACTTCATACATGCACTGTGGTAAGTACACACTTGAAAGCTCACACACACACACATACACAGAGGATAAATACAGTGAAAACAGTTTTAAAAGAAGTAAGTTACTAGGCCAGGTATAGTGGTACACACTCTTGTAATTCTAGCACTTGGGAGGCAGAGGCAGGAGAATCACTGGGAATTAAGAGACCAGCCTCAGGCCGGAGAGATGGCTCAGCCGTTAAAGGCTAGGCTCACAACCAAAAATATAAGAGACCAGTCTGGTCTACATAGTGAGTTTTAGGCCAGGCAAAACTATCTAGCAAGACCCTGAGTCAAAAGAGCAAATGGCTCTTGAGCTGAAGAGACAGCTCAGGAGCCATTAGAAGTTCACACTTACCCTCTAAAGGGTCCACATCATCAAAGCCTGTTGCCCCAGGCTCCCTTTAGGGACCAGGAGACAGCTCAGTGATTAATGGCACTTGTGCCAAGTCTGGAGATCTGTGTTCAATTCCCAGCTCCCACTTGGTGACTCAAAACTATCCATAACTCCAGTTCTAGAGGATCTGATGTCCTCTTAGGACCTCTGTGGACACCAGGCATGCATGTTGTACACATATATACAAGCAGGAAAAACATTGATACACATAACACGTTTTTTTAATTTATTAAAAAAATACAATAAGGGCTGGAGAGATGACTCAGAGGTTAAGAGCACTGGCTGTTATTCCAGAGGTTCCGAGTTCAATTCCCAGCAACCACATGGTGACTCACAACCATCTATGATGAAATCTGGTGCCCTCTTCTAGCCATGCAGACACAGCACTGTATACATAATAAATAAATAAATAAATAAATAAATAAATAAATAAATAAATCTTTAAAAAAATACAATAAAATAAAACAGAGATAATAAAAAAGTTTATTACTAGCTGGGTGTGGTGGTATATACTTTTAACCCCAGCACTCTGAGGGGCAGAGGAGCTCTGTGAGTTCAAAGCCAGCCTGGTCTACATATCCAGTTCCAGGTAAGCCAGAGTTACTTAGATCCTATATAAAAATAAAATAAATAAATAAAAAAATTTTAAAAGTTAATTACTTGGGTACCATTTTGATCTAAAATACAACAACCTACCTGATTATAAACTGAGAAATACTGCCATTATATTCATTTCTAAATATGAAGGTGCACATTTAAAAAATATATCTAAATGAAATACAACTCACCACTGAGTTTAGGATTGTCTCTTCTGTCAGGAAACCTTATTAATGGAGAATGTGGTTTCACTACCTGAAGGAAAATAAGACACACGAGAAAAAATGACCTCATTAGAAGCAACAACCTAGTCCTTGAACCTACATTAGGGCAGCTCACAACTGCCTGTACCTCCAGGGGCATGTAATACCTCTGGCCTCCTTGGGGATGCTACCTCTGGCAGCCTACACACACACACACATTCACACACACACACACACACACACACACACACACACACACACACACACACACACACACACACACACGTGCTCAAAAATAAAAGCACTTGCCAAGCAAGCCTGACAAGGTGGAACCCAGAAGGAGAGAATGGACTCCCAAAAGCTGTCCTCTGATCTCCATAGGCACGTGTGCTCCATATCCATCACAATAATAAACAAAACAAAAAAACCACAGTGAATGGGCTAGAGAGATGTTGCTCAGTGCTCAAGACCACTTTCTGCTTTTGCAAAGGACCAGAGTTCAGTTCCCAGCAACCAAAGCAGGCAGCTCACAAGTGCCTTTAACTCCAGTTCTAGGGCATCTGATACCTACTCTGGGCTCATATACACAAACATATATACATAAAAATAAAAATTAGAAAAAAAATAAACTTAAATAATAAAAACAATGAAGATGTGACCTTGTGTTTTGAAAGCCTTACAGACTGATAAGGAAAGAACTGTAAATGTCCTGATTTGTATCAAGTACTTAGCAATTCAGAACAGGACAAACAATCAAACACCAGGCAATTATAAACACCTGCCCTATGTTGGACAGTGGTAGCACAAGCCTTTAATCCTAGTGCTCTGGAGGCCGAGGCACGTGGATCTTTGTGAGTTCAAGGCCAGCCTGGTCTAGAGGCGTTCAGGACAGCCAGAATTACATAGAGAGACCCTGTGTCAAAAAATAAAGTGAAATAAAAAATTACTCTATTTGCTGTCCAGATTTTTTTTAAATAAAAATTTCAAAATTTGTAGATAAGTAAAGGCAATAAAAATCAATGACTGCCATATTATTCTAAGTTATAGCTTACACTCTGCTCCTGATCAAAGAATGAATAAAAGTTTACAGAGTGAAAAGAAATCCATGAATGAAATAATAAAAAAGAATGCCGACAAGAGTTGTGGCACACCCCTTTAATCCCACACTCGGGAGGCAGAGCAGGCAGATCTCTGTGAGTTCGAGGCCAGCCTGGTCTACATCGAGAGATCCAGGACAGGCACCAAAGCTACAGAGAAACCCTGTCCCGAAAAAGAAAAGAGAAAAAAAAAAGGGGGATGGGGGGGTGGGGAAGAGTGTAAGTTGAAATGTTAGCTTGGCAGTGATGGTGATGAATACCTTTTTTTTTTGGTTATTTATGTAACATATATATTTATTTATAACAAATAATTGAAAAGCCAAATATAGAGAGTTTCTCTATTTAGCCCTGGCTGTCCTAGAACTCACTCTGTAGACCAAGCTGGCCTGGAACTCACAGAAATCTGCCTGCCTCTGCTTCCCAAGTGCTGAGATTAAAGGTGTGCACCACCACCACCACCACCACCACCACCACCACCACCCCCCATCTTATATTTTGAGACAGACTCTCCCTAAACCCAGGACTCACTCATCTGGCTACTCTAGCCAGCCAGCAAGCTCTGGAGATTCATCTGTCTACACCTCCCACTTCCCCGAGGCCGGGGTTATAGCCAATTTCTACATGGGTGCTGGGGGGTCTGATCTTAGACCAGTGTATTACAGAAAGCACTTGACCCACTGAACTTTTCTCGATCTTCCATGAACATTCCTAGATAAGTCTTTTTGTAGGTAGAGACACTCATGTCTCCTGGATAACACATTAGTAGTAAAATGCTTTTTACTTTAATGACTAGAAACTGACAGTTTTCCAGAGTGGTCCAATACTTTTTATACAACGCTTTGAGTTTCAGGTGCCCATGCCTGGGTCAGCACTGGGTCATGTCAATCTTTTCATAACCAGGGCTGTGTCGGGGAGGTGGTGGTGCACATCTTTAATACCTGCACTCCCAGAGGCTGGAGTTGGAGAGTTGGAGGCCAGCCTGGTCTACAAAGCGAGTTCCAGGGCAGACAGGGCTACACAGAGAAGACCCTATCTTGAAAAAAACAAACAAAACGCATGGCTATGTGTAGCTCAGAGGCAGGGTGCATGCATGAGGCCCTGGGTTCAAATCCCAGCAACAAAAAATAGGTTTTAGTTATTTGGTGAATGTGTTATACCTTCTGGTTTGAATTTGTATCTTCTTGGCCAGAATCTTTTTTTCTTTTTTTCTTTCTTTTTTTTTTTTTTTTTGGTTTGTTTTTTAACATTTTTTTCCTTTTATTTTATTTTACAATACCATTCAGTTCTACATATCAGCCACGGATTCCCCTGTTCTCCCCCCTCCC